GGAGAAGCAAACAAAACTGGTAAAATAAGAAGCCAATGCTACTCTCAATGCAGGCAGACAGTAGTGGTGTAACAGCAAAACACAACACGTGTTTTGTTCCCATCACTGGGGACTGATCACAGGCGTTGTCTAATCTGGGCCAATAACTCTACCATTGAGCGGGATCTGCAGCCCCTTCTTTACTAGGTACTCTGAGATAGGGGCTCTTTGGTTGCCTTCACTGACCCTGAGCTTGTTTTAAAGCCCAGGCAGGACATGAACCTTTGAGCTTCCTGCTTCAGCCTCCTAAGTGTCTGAGATGGCAGATACTCTTTATCCTGAGTTTTCTTTGCTAAACTGTTAGGAGCTCTTACCCTTATGATGGGCAGGAAAACCAAATAAGAAATATCAACACAAAGGGAAGATTACTGACCCTGTGTCTGCTGTGTAATGCAGGCCTGAGTGACTGCCCAGAAATGCTGGTCTACAAAGAATTTTAGAAACTTTGGAATTCAGAAACAGAATACATATTCTAAAAGTTAAAAGTTACATATTCTGTAACAACTATTAAAATTTTCATTTTGAAGTTAGAAATGTGTCTTAACACATTTTTACTTATCATTTACTTGGTAATCTAGCATAAGCCCAAGATAAATGCAACTACAAACATTTTTATGGAAAAATAAAATATTGCAAACATCATAATTTTTCAAGTTATTTTACAGATTCAGAAAAATTCAGAAAAAGTAATATAACAGTGTACTTATTACACAGTAAACTCTGACATTCATATCAGAGATTACTGGGGAGAATAAGGAAGAACTTGTCATAGAAGATACCAGAGTGAGTCACAAAGCAACCCACATGAAAAGCACGTGGCTGGCTTCAAAACTCTCGATCAACGGGACCAAATCGAGGATTTAGAAATAGGACCATGGGTGATACAAATACATGAAACCCTCAGTGTGAAAAGTAAGGAGAACTGTTGAGTTTATGTAGCCCAGGATGCCCTTGACTTCACCATCCTCCTGCCTCAAGCCTCTGAGAGCTGGGATTACAGGCAGGTGCTACCTACCATGTCTGCTGTGTTCCTAAACAATGCTCAGAAACAGAAACTTACTTTTCTGTCACAAAATAAAATAAAAATCAGAGCCAAACATTTTAACCTAAGAGTTCTCAGATGTAGAAGAAAAATACATGTGTATGAAGTGGGCATTTAGACTTGCTATTTAAAATATCGAGATGGTGGCGATGGTGGCGCATGCCTTTAATTCCAGCACTCAGGAGGTAGAGGCCAGCGGATGTTTGTGAGTTTGAGGCCAGACTGGTCTACAGAGTTCCAGGACAGGCTCCAAAGCCATAGAGAAAACCTGTCTTGAAAAAACAAAAAACAAAACAAACAAACAAAAAAACTCACTTGGCTTCTTCATACCCCCTAGTCCTGAATGTTTGGGGGCTGGAGAGATGGCTCAAAGTTTAAGAGCACTGGACTGCTCTTCCAGAGGTCCTGAGTTCAATTCCCAGCAACCACATGGTGGCTCACAACCATCTATCATATGATCTGGTGCCCTCTTCTGGTGTGCATGCAAATATGCAGACAGAACATTGTATATGTAATAAAAATAAGTAAATAAATTAAAAATAAAATATCAAAGACATTGCAAGTGGATTGCAGGTGTGGTAAGAGGCTGAACCCAGGGCTTTGGGCATGCTGGGTAAACTACACACTCAGCCCTCAACAAGGCATTACACAATAACCTGTGGGTCAAAGAAGAAAACAACTGAGGATTACAAAGTCTCTTGGATTAAGTGACAACGCAAATATACTATATGCAAATCTGTAGCCTGTGGGTCTGGTAGTGCTTGGGTCTGAAATGTCCCTCTAAGGCTCAGGAGCTGAAGAAGGCTGTTCAGCAGCATTTATGGCCAGGCTTTGGGGAAGTGACTTGTCAGCAGGCTCTGATGTCATTAGTGGACTGCTCTATGCTTACAGCTGAATGGATCAGGAGGTGGTGGGAATCAGATGAGCCACCAGGAGAAGCGGCTGGGGGAGGACCATGCCCAGGAATGGTCTATCCTGACCTCACCCTGCTCCCTTGCCATCCTGAGGTTAAGGCATTTGGCTTCACTATGTTCCCTGACATGATCTTCTGATTCTTCATGACCATGTGGCCACAGACAGAAGGCTTAAACCATGAAATAAATACAAAGCTTTCCTTCCTTAAGCCAATTTTTTTTAAAGGTACCTTTGTCAAGTGATGAAAAGCCAACTAACAGAGATAAATATATATGTGCATATATATGTATGTATATATATATAGGATGCTTCTGAAAGAAATGGAGAGAAATAAAAAGATTAAAATCAATGCTTAAAAGCCATTAGAAGACAAAAATATGAAGCAAGTAAATAAAAATAAGTGCAAAGAAACAATAACAGACAAATCAATGAAATAGAAAATGGAAAATAGAGAAAATAAATGAAACAGGACAATGGTTCTTCTAAAGGAACAGCGAAATTGATAAACTGCTATTTACACCAGCTGGGGAAAGAGTAACATGTCTGTACTAAGACCGAAAGTAATACGGGGCTGTGCTTGCCTAGGATGCACACAGCCCTGGGTTCAATCCCCAGTACCACATAAGATGGGAGTGGTGGTACAGGCCTGTCACCCCAGCACACAGGATGTGTAGGCAGGAAGGCTGGACAGATGCTAGAGTTGTTAAAAATATCAGGGAAGTCCAGGGACTTGCCTCAGAGGCTAAGAATGCTTGTTGCCATTGCAGTCGACAAGGGCTTGATTCTTAACACCCACATGGTGACTTGTAACCATCTGTACCTCTGGTCCCAAAGGGATCTGGTGCCCTTTTCAGAACTTCACAGGTACCTGGCTCGTGCACAGTGCACATCCATCCATCTAGACAAGACACTCATATACATAAAATAATAAGATAAAATTTAAAAACTTAAAAAAAATACTAAGAGGGAATGTATATAATTGATACTAATAATGCCAAATTTAGGTGAGGTGAAAACTTTTATCCTACATTTAATTTCTTAAGAAAGTGCAACGGGACTTAAATAGGGCAAAATGTCAAAATATGCTAAATGAGGCCAGCCAGGTATCTAGGTACTTTACCTTCTGTGTGCTTAAAGCGCTCACAGTTGAAACTGAAAGTTAATGTGAGGAAAATTGTTTCCCAGGATTATTCATTCAATATTATGAGTTGCTCTAGTTTGTTTTTCTGTTGCTGTGACTAATTTTCTGACCAAAAGTAATCTGGAAGGCACTCAAGACAGGGCCTTGAGGCCGAGAAACACAGCTTGCTCAACTACCTTCCTTATATAGCCCAGACCCATCTGCCTAGGTGTGGCACTGCCCACAGTGGGATGTACATCAATTAGCAACTAAGAAAACAACCCCCTCCCCACACACAAACCAAACATGGTGTGGGCCAATCTGATCTGGGAAGTTCTTCAGTTGAGAGTCTCTCTTCCCAGGTGTTGTGTCTGCATCAAGTTGTCAGGTAAAGCCTAATATGACACCAGTCATGAACTAAGGTGACAGGAACTGGTACAGGGGCCTGAGAATACAGTAGCTAAGAGAAAGACACCTGTGTTTTAATGGAGTGCAGTTTAGTGAGGATAGACAAGAATATAGAATATATGTATGAATGGTGAGACACAGTCATACACAGAAGAGGAACCACGTCCTAAGAAAAGAGAATTCTATTATAGGGGAGCCCCAGGGCAGAGACAGCTAGACAGACAAGGCTATGGAAAGGAGGGAAACAGCTTGAGATGAGGTCAAAGGGGTTAATTTTATTGGAAATGCAGTAGGATGTCACTGGAGGTTCTGAGCACAGGCGTTGGCTTTAAGGTTCTTTGGTCACTGTGTAAAAAACGGATTATAAGCCGGGCAAACTGGGCCTGGGAAGTTGCTACAAAATTACATTCGAGGAAGGAGGACAGTAGCAGTGGAGAGAAGAGCCGAAACATTTGATATTTGTCACAGCTGACTTCTACTGTGTGTTTAGATTTGAGTTTATCATATTTTTTTTCTACAAAAAAAAAAAAAAAAACGTGAACAGAGTTAGAACTAGCCATCTCATGCCCGTCTCTTGGACATCACTATTACTATTGTAACATTTAACTGCGGCAGCCACCTGGTCCAGCGAGTTACTTGCTCCCGGCACTTCATCACAATCAACCACAGGGGATGGTGTGATTAATCATGGTGTCACTGCGTGACACAGATTACTAACATTCCATCTTGGGCTGGCGAGCCGCTGCTGAGCATGGCATTTGGGACACCATTCCCAGACACCACCTGGGACCACCATGGTGCCACTGATTCTGTCAGCTGGGAATCAAAACTAGTTTAATAGAAGGAATTTTATGCAAGAAATGGGCAAGGAAGATAGGTAACGGGGATAAAAGGGCAAAAAGTGGACTCTGCAGTTAGTCTTTCAAGAAAGTAGTAACTATTAGTTCATGAAGCCTCCATCGTCTTTAGGACCAGAGAAACAAAGGAAAAGGAATGGTGTTATGAGGACCATTAAGACTGCAAGGGGGTCCTAGAAGGATAGAGCTGAGTTTTGGGTAAGGGGCTGGAAGCTGAAGCTGTTTATTGTCAATGGAATACAATATAGTGGGGGTGGTGGTGGTGAGAAACAAGAGCCAGCAGCAGAGGAGCAGAGAGAAGAATAAGTGTACTGTGGTGACCCTCGGAGAATGACAAGAGGACTGGAAGGGTCAACTGTGTTTCCTTCCTCCCATTACTGGGAACTGCACCTCAGGGAGAAGGGACCTAACGAGAAGGCTCTGGAGAAGGCAGAGGAGAGATGTGTTTCTGAGAGCATGCCCCAGCCTCACTGACTATGATGGTAGGGTGGTCTGATTCTGAAGGCCGACACTTAAAAACCCTCCCAGCTGCTTCCTCCACGCCC